TAAAATATATAAATCATTATTCAAAATCATTATTTCCTCTGGGCATTCAAATATCAATAAACAAATATTATAGTTCCAACAAATCTGTTTTCAATCAAATAATATTTAAAACAAAAACATTGATAATATAAACAAATATGACATTGAAAAACATATCATTTATAAAAATTATCATGAAGCGCTGTTCACTAAACAGCTACTTATCTCAATCATACTCTTACTTTCGTTTATAATGTGCTTACTCCTAAATCTCCTGGTGTCACAGAACCAAAAGAATTTTTCATAACAATTTATTCAATGAAATTTTAGTTAATTATTCTTCTTCAGTAATTCTCAATAATTAAAAATATGAGCTTATTTATATAAATATTTCACTCAATGCCAACGTTCAAGGGATTTTATTTAAATTTCTGTAGAGTTTTATATATGGATATTATATCAACCTTTCAAAAACATTTTTCTAATTCAGCTCAATAATACTGCACAATAATCCAACTCCTTTGTTACATCATTCCATAAACCAATTTGTAAATATCCGTTAATCTTAGTTTAATTAAATTCTTTTGCAAGATTGCACAGCTATTCCAAGCACATCTTAGCTCAACTCACATAATAAATATCAGGCTATAAAAATCAACAACCATATAGCTCTTGAGCATCCAAATAACTAGTTACAACATCTTCATTATCATGTTTTACTAATAGCCAAGCAACTACAAACACTCTAAATACAACACGAAGCTACATAAGTTAATTTCTCAACATTATTAACATAACAAGTAATTAGATTCCATAGTTCTACTTTTGCAATCATCACAATATTAATATAAACATATCCAAATACTTCATTCCATCATGTCTAAACCAAACAAAATCTCCAAGTCTCATTCTTCATTCACACAGTTCGTCAAACACCTTATAGGCATTCAAAATAACTCAACAACCAAACCTCTTAATCCACAAGCTGGCAACAGTGAAGCATTGCTAATTGCTAATTAACACACACATATGTTTCAGCATCCACATTCAAATAAACTCATCAAATCCATTAAACCAAAATTCATCAAAGTTCAATGTAATACCCCCCGGGCCAAACCATACATCAACGCCAAACTGAAAATGTGTGTGTGTATATACAATCTCAATACAATTCCACATACTCCCATTCATCAGAGTAAAAGATTAAATACAACAGAAGTAAATTATCTCCAATCCACTCCCCACAACAGCAGCAGCAAAAACAGGGGAGAGAAGAACAGGGAAAACTTCTCTCAAATACACTGCTACTCAAGATAAAAACAAAAAGGGATTTGAGCTTACCTAAATCCCTAGTAGTAGCGACTAAGATGGAAGAGAAAAATGAGAATGAAGCTCAATCCTTTCTAAGCTACCAAGGCACCGATCAGAGCAAAGAAGAAAATAGAATGACAAAGCTTTGAAGGAAGCAACGTAGAGCTCAGCATTACCGGCACACCCACAGCACGCACGCCGCCGACGAACGCACGAATAGGGGAGGACGGTGGAAGGAACGATGGAATCACAAGATGGGGTTAGGGATTTGAGGTTCACACTCCAGGAGCTTTCTCTCCCTTTTTCTTTTTCACCCCAAGCGATGCACTGATAGGCAGTAGCAGGAAAAAATAAAATAAAATATCATTTAAACTTAAATCTTCCAATTTTTTTTAAAGGAAATGTTGTAATTTAATTTGAAAAACAATAATAAAATTCCCCTTTTTAGCGAACCCAAGATTTGAAGCAAATGCATGCTCAACAACCTCCACTGCTACCCAGCCCCTGACTTTTCTTGATCACTAGACCACAATAAATAATAAAAGAATTAATTAACTTATAATTACATTATCAAGATTATTACAATTATTATTTTTCTTATCTCTGTTTTTTTTAATGAATTTTTTTTTTGTTTGAAGAAGAGCTTACTTTCAACTATACCCATTGTTATAAAATTTAAATCATACCCTTTTTTTTTTTAAATTTACTTGATCAATTAATGAGTACCGAAGATTTTAAGAATTTTTAAATTTCTGGGTCATTACAATTTTAATGATGTCAAATAAAACTGTCAAAGAAACAACCAGTGTTAAAAAACAATTATTTATTTATTTAGGAAAAAAAGTGTCACATAAATAGTTGATGGGCCAAAATGCTTTAAAATTTTTAATAAAATTATACTGCTTATTTTAAATTCCTATTTGCACCATTGTTTTGAGAAATCATGCACAACACCTAACCTTCTATATACTGATGAAGTCATTTTAATGTTTGTGAATCGCTAATGTCAGGTTTCTTACTTGGGTAAAACAGGTAAAAAATTTTTTTCCAATTTAAAGCATGAACCATTTGAAGATGGAATTCCAATACAGAATTTGAGCCTGAAAGTAATATTGAAATTCATTGTCTAAATAATTTAAACTTCTAGAATAACTGACAAGTGATTCACAATAGACTCTATCTTAACCTATATTTGTTTCATCTATAAAGATTTCAAACCATATACTCCTCCGGTCCTAATTATAAGACCCAATTGACTTATTTGAGGAGATTAATGAAGTAAGTTAAGTTGGTTATTTATAATAAATAAGTGTTGTCATTCCTAAAATATCCTTGCTAATTAAGTATATTGGCTAAAACTATTATTATTAGAAGGATTATCTTGGAAAACAATGCATAAATATAAGAGACAAAATGGATTGGGTCTTATAATTAGGATCAAATAAAAAGTCAAATTGGGTCTTATAATAAGGACCGAAGGAGTAATTCTATAATATTATGTTATATTGTAACAACCATCCCAGTTGATGGCTCTTACCTGGACTTGGCAGAGCTCCCCTCCCCATGAAAGATACAAAAGTTATATTTACATAGAGCAAGTAATAATGACTTGCTCACATGATTTAAAATGAGGAAAGAAGGGGGACAAGAAGTCGTGGTGGGATCAAGAAGTGAGAAAAAGGACTCGTGAACCGACAGCGTTCCCACAAGCTCAATCCTTTTTTATATTATATCAAGCACTAAAACCAGTTATCCCTTCTGAGTCATTATTTCGAGTCTTCATCAATTCATTCTTCTGAGCAAACCCGCAGCTTGCACTAACTCAACAGTCCCACATTGGAATTACCATGGAAGCACCATGTCTTCTTGAGCTTCAGGGGAGAAGCCACTCGAAATAGCTTCACAGGTCACTTACATGCTGCTCTTGAACGAAGAGGTATCATAACTTTCATAGATGATGAACTTAGGAAAGGAGAAGATATCACCCAAGAACTCCTCCAGGCAATTGAAGAATCTCTCGTCTTCATTGTTATTCTTTTCCCACCTAACTTATACCCTATCACATAACCGACCACAGGCAATTTACGCATGGGATTAATTAAGTAATCAAATTTGGTCTTCTTTTTGCGTTACCTTGTGCCATTTTTTCCCTATGAAATGAGGAAATTCTGTAAGAATGTGGGGAAATATGAGGACATAAAGTCATGATGGAGTCAAAAAGCGAGAAAAATTAAGAGTCGTGAACCAACAATGTTCACACAGGCCCATCCTTTTCCACAAATATATCACTTGTAATTTATTTTTATAGCTAAAGTATACTTTTAGTCATTTAATTTTAGACAAAATTTTAGTCTAGTATCTTAATTTTGAAAAGCATATTCTAAGTTTTTTAACCTTGAATTCATTAGTCTTCAACGATAATTTTTTTGTAACAGTCATGATTATTTATAAAATTAAATTAAACTCGACATGTTAGCATCTAAAAGTATGTTTTATCAACATTGTTAACAATTGCAGGGATAAGGGACCAAAAACATACTTTTTAAAGTTACGAGACTAAAATGAAACCTTGTATAATGTTAAAAAAACAAAAGTATATTTTAGCCTATCTTTATACATCAAAGAAAGCATTAAGTTGGCAAAGTTTTTAAAATTTATCTTTAAATTTTTTTCTCTTTCTGCATTTCATTTTCCTCTCTTTACAACAAGAATTAAATAAATGATAGGATTGTAAAATGATCATTAAATACCTTAAATAAGTAACTCATATCTAGGACAAAACATTTTTTACTATAAGTGATTTATATTAAGTACGGAGTGATATCAAGCACCAGAAATTGAACAGAAAGTAAAATAAGTGTGATATCCAATCTTTAATATAAAAAATAGATAGCTAATTTACAAATATTAAAAAAATTAATTAAGATAGTTATTTATAATAAATGGATATTGTTTTACATAACTTAAAATATTCTTGTTAGTTATGTGTATTGAAGCTACCACCATGCGAAAATTCCTTAACATTTGTAATATATAGGAGATTACTACTTGAGAACAAAATGGATAAATATTTGAGACAAATATATTAAGATTTTATATTTAAGACCAAATGAAATCTCCAACTAACTCTTATATTTGAGACAAAATGAATGAGGTTTGTGTAACGATCCCCCGGAATGTCTACTTTCTACACCGATTGTGATATTAGCTAATGAATAGAAAGTAATTTTTTTTTAAAGAAAATGAATTTGATATTACCTTTTCATACCGGCCGCAAGCAGAACCAATTTAGAAATAAATTTTTTAAACAAATTAAATAATTTAAATTAATTATATACTCTGGTTGTTAATTTAGCTGGTGTAGAAAGTGTTTATTGCCATTGGTCGAGAAATTAAAGTCAATTATATACTCTGGTTGTTTAAGAACTAGCTGATTATAATTTTGTAAGATAGAAACATGAAAATGGTAAATTCAGAAAATCAACCACGAGTTTGACAAAATAATTGGTAGACGACTTTGACGAAGACTTGTCCTTCCAGTCATAAGTCATGGCTGGATTAAGAAGGATTCATGAACCAACAATGTTCACACAGGCCCATCCTTTTGCATATATCAAGCACCAAAAACCGATGATCCCTTCTGAATCTACCTCTTATAATCATTGTTCCGCGTCTTCAATTCATTCTTCTGAGCAAACCCACGATTTGCAATGAACTCAACAGTGCCCCGATGGAAGTACCATGTGTTCTTGAGCTTCAGGGGAGAAGACACCCGCAATAGCTTCACAGGTCACTTACATGCTGCTCTTGAACGAAGAGGTATCATAACTTTCATAGATGATGAACTCAGGAAAGGAGAAGATATCTCCCAAGAACTCCTCCAAGCCATTGAAGAATCTCTTGTCTCCATTGTTATTCTTTCCCCAAACTATGCATCTTCTCGTTGGTGTTTGGCTGAACTCCAAAAGATTCTTGAATCCAAGCGATCTTTGGGAAGAGAAGTGGTTCCGGTGTTCTTTAACATAGATCCATCTCATGTGAGACGTCTAAGAGGTGCCATTGGAGATGCCTTTAAAAGCCACAGGGAGAGATTTGCTGACAAGGTCCAAGGATGGAGAGATGCTTTGCGTGAAGCTGCAAATATATCTGGCTACGACTGCAACCACCGGCAAGTTTTATTTTGTTCCCCAAGTTACTTTTGATCACTTTACTTAATTTTTGCACATGCTCCTCCATCCATTTAAAGATGCTCATGAGACCCAAAAGCCCGCAATGCCCACTCAAACCCATTAAAATTATGTTAAGCCTGATCCTAAAAAAGTAGCCTGGAAAATAATTAGACATTTTTAGGCTAGACAGGGTATTAAACATGGTATGCCACCTACCCATTTAGTCCTACTAGAGTTTACATATACAATTCTATTTAATATTTAATATATATTCATTATATATAATTGTATTTAATATATATGTAGTATACATAGTTGGTAGAATTAAATATTTCAAGATTTAAGTTGTTGGAATATTCAAGGAATAAAAAACTAGATCGGTCAATAAACTAATTGTGCACTGATTCAAGGATTAATAGGTCAGATCGGGGTTAGATCAGAATTAAACCGGTAATAATTATGAAAATATGTAAAAAAAATGTAATTTAATTAAAATATGCAAAAAATATTCATATTCTAGTTATGAAAAAAATACAAGTTTATCTTTTTATTTTTACTTTTCCTTTTTATTCTCTCCCCTTTTCACAATGCATTAAATTTTACCCTTTAGCTTTATTTTTTTAATTTTTTTCTTGCCATATTTACATTTTTATTTTTACTTCTTATTCTATCTCTTTATCTCCTACGTAAACACTTGACATGTTTTACTTTTTCTCCACTCTGTTCTCCTTCCACGCTCATCCATCAAATCATGTCATTTGGCTTTGTTTTTCTCATCTCCCCGTGCGTGCTGACTCTCTTATCTCCTCTCTCTCTACCTCCCTCCCCAACGCTCCCCTCTTTTCTCTCTTCCTCCTTCCCTTCAATCAGTACTAGGGTCTCTTTCTTCTCCCCTCTCTTTCTCCTTTCCTTCCAAGAGCAACATGGGTCTTTCCTTCAATATTGAGATGAAGATATAACAGCAACAGTCAGAGTGTGAGTGACGGCTATGTAGCAAGAAATGAAGAGTGAAAACAACGACTGCAAGTACTAGCGAAATTTGATTGGAAGATTGAGCTTAAAACCGACAGACAGGAAAATAAATATGGAGTTTCTTTTCTTCTTTCTTCTTTTCATTTTTTTTTTCTCCAGATGGTCAATCAAACTTGGGTTTTTTTCTATAAAACATAGAGCCACATCGTTTTGGTCCAATTTGAGGGCAAAATAATTAAACCAGGTAACCCACTTCGACCAGTGATTACCCAGTTTAACATCGGTTTTGACCGATTTAACTGGGTCAACACCGATTCGAACTTTGACCAGTTCACCTACTAAGCCAGATCGGATACCAAGCTGGTTCATTGTTTTTCTAGTTGAACTAGCCAGTTCAGTCTGGTTTTTTCTTCCATGGACATATTTGATCATGGCTTTTGTGTGAAGATCTATCAAATTGTGTTTGATTATGTAATTATAAAGAGATCTAAAATGATAGATAGATATGTGGATTTGTAGTATAGTGTTCATATTTATTCTCTTGAAATATTTTAAGTTGTGGAATTGTAAATATATTTATAATCCAAAATATTATTTAGTAAGTCTACCCATGAAGATCTTCACATAATATGAAAAAGGTATCACTATTTGGGCGAGGAAGACCATCTCACCCAGCCTAGCACAGCCTTGCCTGCAAATACTCAGGCTCTCATTGGGTGGGGTTGAGCATTGGATTGCAAAATGTAGTCCATTCATCTTTCGGGCAAGGTCTCAGGTAAGGGTCTGGCCCTACCCATGTGCAACCTACATCCATCCTCTATCTTATCCAATATTTCTTTTATTTTTGAACTTATTTCTGATTATTTTCCCCTTCTTGCCGGGCCAAATTGTACTTTCAAAATATAACTTTGAAAAAAAAAATTACGAAGCATTTTCGATGTCTTGTTGGATAAAATATTTTTTATACGGAGCACTTTTCAAATGTTTTTTACGAATTCACCATCATAAATTTAAATATTTTCAAGGATAATGTTTTTCCCATCAGAATATTTTGAACTATCATTTTATTAATTATTATGATGTTTTATTGCGACAATTTTTTTCCTTTAATATATCCTTACCAAGTATTAATTACATAAATATTGAGCATATACAAAATTATGCCATCATTATTCCGTGTGTTCATAATAATATGAAAATATTTTGATTTTGGGGCGCAAACAAAATATTTCGAGTACACATATGAATTCGTCTGAAGGCATATACCCCCTCCATTATCAATGCATATGTATAAAAGGAATAATTCGGAACGACTTTGTGTTATCAAATGAGAGGTATAAAATAGAGTTCTAAAAATATTTAATGATATCATTCCAAAAATCCCCTAAAAAGATACTTAAAACTAGTGAATCAATTTCGACTCCCCATTTTCCCATGTATGTGGATTGTGGAGTAATGGCGAGAAAAATAGGAAAAATTTTCAAACCCTAACTCTTTTAATACTACCTCTGGTTCTTAATATAACAGCTTTTTGACATTTAATTATGTCCTAAATATAAGATTTCAATGTACTTTGTCTCTCATAGTTATTTATTTTTTTCAAAGTAGTCATTGTAGTAATTGTACATGTTACAAGTCTAGCTAATACAAATGATTAGTAAGGGTATTTTAGGAAAAATAACACTCATTTATTACAAATAATTAACTTAATAAACTTTCTTAATTTACTCAAATTAACCAACTAATTTTTATATTAAAGATAAAAGGTCATAGTGTTTATTGATGCGTGCATCGCTGTACTTGTACCTTAAATTTGATAAGGGTCTGTTTGGTTTGAGGGGAGGGAGGGGTAGGGGAGGGGAGGGGAGGTTTTATCCTCACCTTGTTTGGTTTGATTAAAAAGGAGGGGAGGGGAGGGTATTTAATGATCCCTTGTTTGGTTCAAGGAGGAGGGGAGGGATAGTAATAATCAATTTACCATTTTACCCTTACATATTAGTTTATGTTTTTTATTGATATATTATATAAATTAATTTACATCTTAATTTAAATTATATAATTTAATAAAAATTCAGTCTTATCATGTTAATATGTGTATTAAAAAATTGGTATAGTAATTTTTTATTCTAATTAAGATAATAATATATTTAAAATAATCAAATTAACAAATTTTATATGCTCTAAGAAAAATGAAATTTTATTTTCTTTAGGCTATCTTTTTTTCTAGCTTTAAAATATATTTAATAAATAATATATTTATAAAAAACAATTAAGTTTATAATATTATAATTTTTTATTTAAATAATTTTTTATTTTTAAATAATTTTATAATATATTTTTAATTATAATAATGTATATATTTTTTATTTTTTATACTTAGGATAATATATTTTTTATTTGAAATAAATATTATAATAATATATTTTATGGGTAGAAGTGAAATATTAAAAAAACCATAAGGGCATAATGGTCCAAAATTTTGGCTCCCCTCCAAAAACCCCCAATTTAGAAGGGAGCCAAAATGGGGGGAGGGAGGGGAGGGGAGGGGACATTTTAGCTCCCCTCCCCTTTAAAATTTTTAACCAAATGAGGGGAGGGGCTCATTTTCCCTCCCCTCGTCTCCCCTCCCCTCCCCTCCCCTCCAACCAAACACACTCTAAGAGACGGGTGTCCTAGTTAACCCATGCATTGTAAAAATAATTTTTAAATAAAGTATAAAATATGTTAGAAGAAGTTTTGGCCCCACCAGTTAGGGGTTAGTTCGTTTAAGATTAAAAAGATTTGATTTTAGTTCCGATAAACATGAGAAAGTTGTTAGAAATATAATGGGTTGTTGGAAGAATCAATAACAATCAATAACAAATAACAAACTCTTCCACCAAGCTTACGGCTTATTGATGGATCTTCTCACAAAACACTGTTCACAAGCCACTTGATTGTCATCTTGGGCTAAGTTGAAGCTGGCTTCTTGTCATTAATGTATTTGGCTCAAGAGAGTACATGCTCATGTAAGCGGATCAGGTAGTACAGTTTAAAATTCAAATACTATTCAAGTTCCAGCCTTACACGCTGTTACTTCATTGAGTTCAAATTTGAATTTGAATCCCATCTCATCTGGGTTTCAACGTTCTACTCAAACCCTCTCCTTCATCTCGTCTCTCAGCCTTCCCTCTAAAAATTTCTTCTTCCACCCCCTTTCCTTCATTGAGTGCCGTATTACTAAGTTTATAGTATTTCACGAAAGAGATGTCTTCTTGGGTTAACACTAAAAAGGCAGCTGCTAAGTTTGGAGTTACAAGTATGTATAACTGTTCTCATTTAATACCTTTGTAATTATGTTTGTCCACTTATCCACATTCCATTTTTTCGGAGATTTATGTTGCTGATATATTCAGATTGCCCGGAAAAGCTATGCTATGTTTTTCATGGGTTTGATCCGCTATGATTTCAAAAGGTGTTTCTTGTATATTTAGGCATTTCTAAACCCTCCTCTTTCCATCGTTGTTGTCCATCATCTGCTCTTATAGAAGATGGATTTTGATAATTTCTCTACTAATCATGCAGGGAACGCATAAAAAATATTAGATTAGGAGGTTTTATTTATTGCAGTATTCTATTGTGGAATACAATTGAATTGGTTGGAGTTCGCGAATTGCATGCATCCCGTGCAACGCACGGGAAACACAATCTAGTTTAAACTAAATATATGAGCCATGTGGGGTAAAAAGTTTATTTTGATAAGCTATTTGAACAAAAAGTATAAACAACAACAGAATATTATCCTATTAAGCTGGTTGGCCACATATATGGATCACACACAAGGTATCATTGTGCTCTATCAATAACCAAATATTTGAATAGATTGTTAACCGAAAAATCTTCCCCAAATAATTGCATTGCGTGTTCTTTTTTATATTCTTCTATCATGTTTTAAAAGACTCCATAATATTTGATCAATGCTCCTCACTAAGGCATTCAATAGCCTTCTTTGCATGTGCCCGAACCACCTCTAAAGATTATCTACCATTTTCTATTCAATAGGTGAAACTCCAACTCTACCACATATATGTTCACTACGAATCTTACAATGCATACATTTTGTCTTGCTTCTACTCAAACGAAAACTCTTTGACTTTAGGGGCCTTTTCCGTATCCCAAGTTTAGAGTTAATCTCTTCTCTAGACTAAGCTAAAAGAACTACACCATCTGCAAAAAGCATGCTTTTAGAAACTTCTTCTTTGATAAGCTGATTTAGAACATTTAGGACTAGATTAAACAAATAAGAGATCAAAGATGATTCCCTGATGTAGGCCAATCCTTAGAGAAAAATTCTTTATGTCACCTCTAGTATTATAACAGTAGTTGTTACCCCTTTTTATACATATCTTTTATGACTTTAAATACATGCGCCACACATAGTTTTCTTTGCAAATGCTCTCAAAAGTATGTCTTTGGCATGTGGTCATAAGCTTTTTGTTTTTGTATTTTTCCCAAATCAGTGAAAACCATATGCCAATCTATCCTTTGGTTCAATACTTTTCCACTAACCCTCATAGTAAATAAATTGCTTTTATTGTAGTCTTTCTTGGCATGAACCCAAATTGATCCGAAAGAATACAAGTATCTAACGTCAACCTATGTTCAATTATATTTTCTCACAATTTCATTGTGTGCCTTATAAGCTTAATCTCTCCGTAACTTGCACAATTCTGCATATTCCCTTTATTCTTGTGAACAGGGACCAAAGTAATTTTCCTCTGGTCATCAGGAATTTTTCTGGGGAGTAATACCTTATTACATAGATTTGAAAGCCACAACACACCCTGCTTGGACATTTTCAAACTTCAATAATTAAGGACGCCAACAACTTTATTATTTTACATTTTCTTAAGAGCTTTAACCTTGCCAACTCAGCAATAAAACGACATACATATGCTCGCCTTCTCTCCCTGTCAAATCCTCTAAAAACTAAAAATATATCGAACAGAACTTTCACGGGTATACTAAATTACCATTTGATTATTCCTTTCTACGTGCAGGCATGAAGCAAAACTCATTGAAGAAATTACAGCAGAAGTATGGGCAAAGGTACACCCTAAATTACCATATTGTTGCAACAATGAGCTCATCGGCATCGAATCGAGAGTGGAAGAAGTGAATTCACTTTTAAAGATTGGATTTTGTGATGTTCGCTTAATAGGAATATGGGGAATGCCAGGTATTGGAAAGACAACTCTTGCGAGAGTTGTCTATGATAGAATTTTTCGCCAATTTGACCTCAGTTGTTTTCTTGCTGATGTGAAAGAAAGCTCTGAAGCCAAGGGCTTGGTTGCTTTGCAAAGGAAACTTCTCTCCAAACTCAAGATAAAAGGCATAGAAGTTGATGATTCACATGATGGAAAGAATATAATAAGAAACCTGCTATGCAACAAAAAAGTTCTAGTTGTCTTGGATGATATAAATGAAATAAACCAACTAGAGGACCTTTGTATAAGGCAGGGTTGGCTGGGTCCTGGGAGCAGAGCAATTGTGACGACTAAAAATATGCATGTATTGATAGAGCATGGAGAATTTGAAATTTATAAGGCTGAATTGTTAAACAATGATGAGTCTCTACAGCTCTTTTGTGAGAATGCTTTTAAAAGGGATCAACCTCTAGAAGGTTATTGGAAGTTGTGTGAAGACGTCATCCACCATGCTCAAGGCCTTCCTTTAACTCTTGAAGTGTTGGGTTCATATTTTTGTGGAAGAAGTGAACTTGAATGGAAAGAAGGTTTGGAGAAAATCAAGAAGTCTCCACCAAGCAATATTCTAAAGAGGCTTAGAATCAGTTATAATGCATTAAGTGATACGGAGAAGAAAATATTTTTAGATGTTGCTTGTTGTTTTAAAGGAATGGTCAAAGACCAAGTGACAGAAATATTTGAAATATGTGGTGATCTTTATCCAACACTTGGAATAAGAGAACTTGTTGAGAAATGCTTGTTGACAGAAAATCATAGTAATGATGGTGCATGTTATCTGGGTATGCACGATATCCTTCAAAAAATGGGCAGAAGTATTGTTATAGAGGAATCGCGTAAAGATGTTGGCAGACGTAGCAGGCTATGGTCGCTGGAAGATATTGATCATGTGATGACAAAAAACAAAGTAAGCAGCTTCCATTGAGAAATGCATTAAACTTTGCTGTAATTTACAATATTTAAATTGTTTTTTTTTTTGGTAGGGCACTGATTTGGTTGAACTTATACATCTTCAATCACCTATGCCATATGAAGCGAATTGGGACCCTGAAGCATTCTCTATGATGCGGAGCCTCACAATACTCATCATATTATGTGATGTGTACCTTCCTCGAGGTCTCAAATTTCTTCCCAGTTCATTAAAAATTCTTGAGTGGAAAGCTTATCCTTTGAATTCTTTGCCCTGTGTTGCCCATCTTGATGAACTTGTGCTCCTGAAAACGCATCATAGCAAGATCATACAACTTCGTTGGGGGAGAACACAAGTAAGAACCTTTTTATCGCCTTATGAATAATAGCTTAATCTTTTTTTGAAAGCAAGTCCATTTACTCGTCCTTTTTTTTTTTTGGCGCAGATGTCAAAAAAGTTGAAGTTTATTGATTTAAGCTACTCAGAAGAATTCACAAGAACGCCTGATTTCTCGATGCTGCCCAATCTTGAGCAACTAATTCTTAAAGGTTGCGTTAAACTTTCTGGAGTCCACCCATCACTTGGACAACATACCAAACTTGTTCTACTGGATTTGAAAGATTGCAAGAATCTTAAAGCTCTTCCGAGTAGAATGGAAATGAATTCACTAAAGACATTGATACTTTCTGGCTGCTTAAAACTTAAAAAGCTTCCAGAATTTGGGAAAAATATGACCAACTTGTTGTCTCTTGAAGTGGAAAATTGTGAAAACATTGTTTGTCTTCCATGTTCCACTTGTAATTTGAAATCCCTGAAAGTTCTCAATATGTTGGGTTGCTCAAAATTTTCCTCATTACCGCAAAATATTGATGAAAATGAGTGTTTAGAGGAGCTTGATTTGAGTAGAACTGCTATAAGAGAAATACCTTTATCGATCGTTAGCCTTCAAAATTTGAAGATGCTATATTTGAATGGATGTAATGGTCTAAGTTCAACATCCAATTCATTAATAAGGAGCTTGCTTTCCCCAGTTCGAAGGGCATTTGGGTATGGTATTCGTGAAGCTCCCACTGGATTGGTTTTTCCTTCTTTCATCGCACGTCTAGCATCACTGAAGAAGTTGATTATGAGAAGTTGCAATCTCGAAGGGGGGTCAATTCCAAATGATCTTGGCTGCTTACCATCATTGGAGGTCATTGATTTTAGTGGGAATGATTTTAGCAACCTACCTGAGGGCAGTTGTGTTCTTCCTCCCTCATTCTCACGTCTTTCCTCATTGAAGTCTTTGGGCTTATCTTCTTGCAATCTCCATGATGGGTCAATTCCTGAGAATCTTAATTGCTTATCATCATTGAAGCAACTTAATCTACATAACAATGAATTTACCCATCTTCCTGCTGGTTGTGTTGCTAATCTTTCACTTCTATCTCATCTTCATTTGAGTTATTGCCGAAAGCTCAAATACTTGCCAGATCTTCCGCCGAATCTAAAGCAGATAGACACAATAGCTTGTCATTCAATGCAACCACTATCTCTTTCAGAATTTCTATCAGTTTTGATTACAACTACTAATGATTTTTCAAAATCTTTTCCATCAACGATTTTGCATAACATGGATTTCAAGGTTTGGTGGACGCTGGAGACTGACATCCCATCTTGGTTCCATAGTCAAAATGTGCAATTTCTTCATGAAGTTGATGGTTTTCAAGATAATCATGTTGTTCAAATTTCCAAGAGAGAAATCTCATGTAAAGATCTTGATCATTATCATCCCAATGTGATTGGTGGTTTTGTACCGTCTGATTCCATTGTGTCAATAAAAGTAGACGTCTGTCATCTTTGTGGTTCAAGTATAAGGTGGGGAATTTCTCTTTGCATTGTTCTGCAAGATCTAGACCTTCCTTTATGTGGTGGAGATGTGTTCTCTCGAATTCTTCAGCTGACTTATAAAGCTTCACAAGATAAATTCTTCAAAAAGGAATTGTCATGGACAATTGCCATGGGAAACAATCCCAATCAAATGCTGATGATTCATTTGCCTGGGAGTAATTTCAGAGTAGTTGACTGTGGCCAGATCGAATTCATCTTTTATACGCAAAAATATAAGTGCACAAAGAAAGTACAAGGGTTTGGGAAAGTTGGTTTGCAAAGTCAGAGTAAATTTGTGATAAGCAAGTGTGGGTGGCGTGTGATAAGCGAGGAAGATGTCGAAGAATGGCGCAGATCATCAGTGAACGTGCGTAGCACTAGTGGTAGTAGTGAAATCCTTTCCGAGCATTCTCTTTATGCTTATGGAAAGAGTACCTGTGAAGTTGAAGAATTGGAAGAAGAAGAAGACAACATTGTGATTAATGAGGAAGCCGAAATATTTTCTGCTAAACGAAGAAGAATCGAATGATTTCTTTTCCTAGGTAACTCACCATCACCCTTTATGTTCTCCAGAAACACGCTCGTTCACACACGCACACACAAAATTGATTCCTTGTGTCTCTGGGTGCAAAGTTGAAGAATGCCAATTTGAATGTTACAGACATTAAATGATGTGAGTAGATTCCTTGTTAACATTTTGATTTTCTTTGACAATAACTTTAACTCCATCGAAGATGTTATGCATGGCAGCTTTTTCAAGTCTTGTTCATATTTCTGCACTGAGTTCTAATTTTTCAATATCAATACAAAGTGAACAACATGCCAACTTCCCATTATCTATATGTTAGATTTGTTTCATGCAAGTTTATTTGTTTCATAGACTTTTGGCTGAGGATAACTAAAATTTGGAAGTTAGAATATTGTACATATGTCAGAATTGCGCCCCTTCCTGCTTCTTCAAGAATCCTTGTGTGATAAAGGCAACCAATATACTCATCAGTCCTTAATATAGGATCCAATTAGTGAGTTGATTTTGGTTCTAAATATAAAACCTATTTTTCATATTTATTAATTTTTTTTAAATTATCCCGATTAACACTCCTTCAATTATTATCAAATAGGAGAGAGAGGAAGGATATTAAGGAAAATGATTATGGTGTTTTGAAAAAAAAAACATGTCATATTTCTTATAATTAACTGACTTACCTAACTTTTTTAATTTAATCAAATTAGTTAAATAAGTCTTATATTAATGACTAAAAGAGTATCATGTGAGATTATTTCATGTTTTCATGCAAGATGCTCATGTCCTCTTTTTGCCCACCCCTCCCTCCCTATACGAGATTACTTTCGGCGTTTGATCTCTCTGTTATATATATGAGTTTGAAGCATGTCTTTCTTTTTTACATGGCATAAAGATTCCTTCGATTTTTTAAAAAGAATCTCGCTGATGAAAAGCAAGAAATATACCCACTATCACTATTCCGTACCCCCAACATCACGCGAAATAGCCAAATGTTTTTTCCATCGCTATTAAATAAATATGTTGTTTTCATTTAGAATTTCATTATTAACATGATTGCGTAAAATTTACCTTTCAATCAATAATTATATGTAGTTTACCATATGTTCCTCCAGTCCTTAATATAGAAGTTAATCATAGAGTTGATGTTGATCCTATATAAAAGATTTATTTCGGAACTTTATCAATTTTTTTCAAATTAACCCTATTGATATTCTCCTAACAATAATCATGTAGGAGAGAGAGGGGGGAAATTAAAGAAGATATATTAACTAATTTAACTAACATTGTTAATTTACTCAAATTAGTTAATTTTTTGTGTGCCAACACTCAAATTAGTTAATTAGGTCTTACATTAAGGACTAGAAGAGCATATTGCTAAACAAAGCTGAGTGCCTATATGAGGCCTCTCTTCACCAAGCCTGTGATATTTAAATACCTTTCAATTTATTTGCCCTGTTTTAAATGCCATTTGCATTTTGCCAAGAACTTAGGGAAGAATAAGGTTATGGTCCTTATAGCTTCCATTTTCAAAAATTAATACCGCAAAGAAGCTTCAAATTAATTAATTGTATTCAGCAAGTCTTTCCCAATAGGAAAAATATTAAGTGGGGAGAACATGAGAAGAGAAAATGTCTGATCAGAGAGATGCTATATATAAAAGCAACAAAGCAGGATTAGAGATGAAGAAGAAGAAGAAAGAAGGAACCCCAAAGATTTCATACTTATGTCTGATACATAGATAACTGTACGTGTTGTTAGAGTGAATGAGACGAGTGACATTGGTTGTAGCATCTCTAATAAAAGAGGAGGAAAAATCCGAAGCCATTACGAAAGAAGCTTCATACCAGCGAGAGTGTTATGGTATTTTTATATATCCTAATTCAAAATCAAATTCTTTTGAGGAAAAAGGTAATCTTTTTTCTTTTGTAAGTTTTGGGAACTTGCATAAATATAAGCTTTTTCTCTAAAACAAGGTAATTGTTGAATGATAATTAAGTACCACCACCTTCCACATAGCGATGTACGCAGCAATTACTGTTGTATCAACCTTCAATTCATCTTGCACATCTCCCGGCAGCTTACTGCTATGTATAATTTTAGTTTCATTGAGCATTTTATTCGTTTCTTAATTTAAAGAGGCAAGTATTGATGACTTGAGATTAGGAAATCGAACTCACCATCTCCAACTTATAAGAGAACGATAAGGCAGTTAGCATTCAGCGTATAATTTCGTAGTATTTGGTTTTGGGGAGCTTGTTCAATCACTTGGAGACACTTAAATCTTAAAGGTTACGTTACTCTTTCTATTAATTTTTACTCCTCATTTCCTTGAGATTTTCTGCTTGGGATGGAAGACTTGAAGGCGTTGGTGAAGGATTGCAAGTACAGCTGGATTTTTTTTTTTTTTCGTTCTTCGCTGTTAGAATCATGTTTTGATTTTTTTTTTTTTAATGCTTTGGGAACTTGGAATTTGAGTTTTAATTGAAGCAATGTGAACTAATTAAGAGAAGAACAATAGGGGTTTCCCGGAGGGTTCTTGCGATACATGACTTTCTTTAGTTGTAATTAATATATATGGCAAAACCAAATGTTTTAATGTGTTTTTTCATATATGAGTATGTTGCATTTTCATGCTCAAGGGCGTGGAATTTTGATGTGCCTGCTAAAACCCAAGTTTATTGCCACAAGGAAGTTTGAATTTGCAAAAATAATGGGATTGATATGTTGAGATGCCTCTTTGATATGGCTTTATAACTTTAATTAGGAGCTTGTTTCATCATTTGAAATCACATAGAGCACCATATTGCGAAATAAACTTCTAATATGGTGATTTTAAGCCCATAACTTCCCCCACAAGAGTTCTTGGCTGGGGGAATTTATGGGCTTAAAATCACCATATTGCGAGATGTTGTAGGTAGTTGGCAGTGTCTCCTAGCTTGGTACATGCTAAATGCACTTCTGGACTTGCTTTAATTGGCTGCTCGGTACTAATCAAGATTGGATTTAGCATGAGAGCGTTGACCTTGTGAAATTCATGTTATTTTATCACATTTTTCTTTAGTTAGTATACTTTTTGGTAAATTAATGTATATCTAGAAATACCTATGAAAGAAAAATATGCACAGTTGATACTTGGGCTAAAGTTATAAATATTTGGTTAATTATGAATATTTTACCCCTAGTTCATCAAATTTGGCTTTCATAGTTTGTCTTGCTTTGTAGCATTTGAAGCAAATATTAATACCTATGGAGTTGAAAAGAAGCTTAGGAAATCAAGACACAATAAAAAAAATCAAATAAAGAAGAGATCCAAAACAGTGAGCTATTGGCTCCAGCCAACAGAAGTCTTTGGCTTTAGCCAACAAAGGAGGTAGAGAGAAATTGGCCGCAGCCAAGAGAAATCTTAGCTGTAGCCAATGCATAATTACTGATATTCTACGTTTTGAAGACAGCACACGTCCCAAGGCTCTATATGCTATATAAATCAAAGGGATGCATTATTTTCACTCATTCTGGTCTTCTTGGGTGCATTTGGGAGCTTTTTGGTGTGCTAGGGCATGGATTTTGATGGGAGGTTGAGTTTGGGGTTTGAAGTTTGAAGTTTAGAAGATATTTTGGCTTCATATCTTGGTTCTTCTTCTGCTTTCTCCTTATGATATTTGCTTATTTGGGTAATTATATATTAATCCTTTTTTTGTGAAACAAAGGGGCCATGCGCAATACAATTATCTTAGAATCCTACGAGGAAAAGTGATTTCTACTTAAAATGAGATCCGTATAAGCTCCTTTAGCGCAAGATCTAAAAGGTAGGTTATGGCATAATTTTTAACCATATAATGATGCAATATACATTACATTTAATTATTTTACTTCATATTATACTTCGAATACATTATTATATATTTTAAAAAAATTACTAATTAGCGATCTAATAACCATTACATTTAATTATACATGTTATAAAAATATAAAAATAAACTCTCACGAGTTTATTATTTGAGAAAGAGGGTGAGAACACCCTGAATTAAATTAAGAGAGAAACCTTGTTTTAGGCAAGAGGCCAAAGTTGATGAGAAAAATTAGTTTTGATATTCAGTTTGCATTCTCTTTCACTACTAGAAAAACAATTTTAAAAAGTAGCTAAAGTCGTCATTGAAAATTCACTTTTATCGTTGGCTCTCAATGCTATCGCTAAAAGGCTTCAAAAATTTGGTTTTCAGAGAAACTTCAACAGTGATTTAATTTTTGGCCGCAGATGATTTTCTTGTCACTGGTATTACTAGCGATGGCCGTTAGCGTGCCGACTTTTTACTACCCCCAAAAGTTAATTTTCAATAGTGTTTATGAGTAATAAATTTCAATTTTTTATTAAAAGAATTAAGGGATCATGTGACATAATTGATCCCAGTTCCCAGTATACACATCAATATAAACGAGATCCCTTATACGTACGGTTGTTATGAGTTTACTTTAGCAAATTCATAAGTCCTACAACCTGGCTCATAGCTTCGGTCAAAGATACATAAATACAAGCGTATTCACGCCATTTACCATAAAAACACTCACAATCTCCATCCATGTCTTAAAGAATAGGAAGAATTACAATTAGGTCCCAACTAAGGGAATTAAATACAAAAAAGTCTCTTAAAATCATGAAATTATTCTAAAGTCCTAAGGGGCCTTTGCAATAAATTTTATTTGTTTAATTACCAAATCACCCTTCTTCTTTTTTTTAAAAAAAGTTTGTATTAACAACTGAAAGAGCAGTGGTTAACAGCTTAGAATGCAAGGATTGACAACAATCGCCGCTTGTTTGACAACTCATGCATTATATTTTGTTATATGCTGAGAACATGTATTGTCAAACCAATCGCAATAGTTGTCAATCCTTGCATTCTAAGTTGTCACCTACTGCTCTTTCAGTTATCAATGCAAACTTTGAAAAAAGAAGAAGAAGGGTAATTTAGTAATTAAACAAATAAAATTTATTGCAAAAAGGTCCC